ATTATCAGCAAGAGGTACTAACGGGGTTGAGGCAAAGGGTGCACACTGCTTACCCCTTGTTGGCATTTTGTCTCATAAAAATATGTGAGCAACAGGATTTATGATGCACCATGTTTTCTGGATACATGAATCGACCTGTTGTTGGGCAGTAAAAGCAAAGCTCTTGCCTGCAGCACGTACAATGCATAATTAAGTAATATTGGATTCAAAAGAGAATTTATGAGAAGGCTGAGAATAGGTAAGGAATCTCAGGGTTATTCAGTAAACACTGGATTTTGTCCAGATAGACATAATCCAATGAAAATTACCGAATTCCGGTTCGGTATAGCCGAACAAATCGGCAGCAATTCTGGATGTATTTGATATCTGCATTAAAATCAATGCTTTCTCATTCTAACCATATACTGGATTCTGAAGATTCTTAGCAGCAGTTTTAATAAAATTCAGGACCGATGCACATTTGCAAATTATCACAAATTATCGTTCACTTGCTTTTATGCTTTTATACCTCCTATAGACTGTAAGCTCGTTTGAGCAGGGTCCTCTTCAACCTATCGTTCCTGTAAGTTTTCTTGTAATTGTCCTATTTATTGTTAAATCCCCCCTCTCATAATATTGTAAAGCGCTATGGGATCTTTTGGCACTATATAAATGGCAATAATAATAATAATAATGCTATATTTACTTGTCCATTGGCAGCATTAACAGTCAGCGGGCAACTAGTAAGATAACCCAGTACGAGGGTTAATAATGTAGCAGCTAGCAACATAGTCCCTTCTGCGCATTCCCACTTCAGTCCATACTTTAAAATAATGGTAGTGGGTTGTAAAAATCATGTCTACTGCCCTGTCCCATTAGTAGGGGGTTATTTAATAAAAGAAAATGGGAGGGACAACAACCTAATGTCAGCAGGTAGAGGCTATTAAATGTATACCAGGGGGGTATAAACTCATTCTTCCATACATCTCACTGACAAAGCCTAAAGAATGCCAACATGATTGTCTAGAATCATACTGAGGGATTCTGCTGGGATTTGAGTTCTGAGTTTTAGTTTTCGACTGATCTAAAATGGTTAGGTTATAGTATACTGGAGAAAGTGAGTGGGGACTAATCAAAAGATAAGCTACCGTGACTCTTCTCTGATTTTCATAAATTCTGCCATAATGATTTAATTAATCAAGACAGAATACAAAATACATAATGTCTTAATTATTTAATTACTTTCCTCCCACTCTATAGGAATTCTACACATCACAGAACCCTTCATGCAGTGCTAAATAATAAATATTATCATTGCTATCCACATATTGCAGAGACTGTTTCACAAATATGAAGGGCCTAATAGTTTCCCATTTTATTTTTACCTTTGCCTTTTTTATAACAACTCATAGTCTATAGTCACAAAAAAAACTGGCCGGCATAAAAACATGTGAGCAATGGCCTGTTACTCATTTTCTCATGCTGTCTAATTGAGCTTAAAACAGCATATGTTTATTAACAAGATAATATAATTACCCTGTGCATTGGTTCAAAGTCCCCAGTATAAATAGTATATGGAAAAGTCATTAAAGGATGAGCTGAAGATATGAGAGCCAATTAGATGTGACGGAGAAAAGCGATAAGCAAAATGGTGGTTGGTTAGTGCTTTTCTAACCATATCATAAATGACAACACAAGACTTTATTCCAAAGGAAGGATTATCCACACGTTCTCTGTTGTGTACTATATATTAAGGGCTTTTGAGATTTTTCCTGCTATGTGGTATCATAGAGTTATTGCACAGTTTTATAAGTCCTGTTTTTTTGTTTTGTTTTTTCATTGTTATATAGAAGTAAGGCATGTTCTGTTTGTGCTTTCTAGCTTCTTGGCATGTTAAGGATTCCTTGTCTCGTCCCTCACTTCCCTCCCTCACTTTCATTATACATATTAATGGTGGTGGTCAGTGACAAAACTAATGTAGAGATGTATGAGCTTTTGAGGGACTTTGAGTTTGAGCTACCCTTCTAGTGTGGCCAAAAGATTTGACCATCTGTCATATAACACCCACAATAATATACCAGATGGGGATTTACCATTTGCCTATCTTACAGGATTGTATTTGTGAGCAGTGTTTGTGTTTTTGAATATAAGCATATTTTTGTATGGAGCATGTGCATGTGCATGTATGAGTGTATTTGTATGAGCCCTTGTCATTGGAATGCAGTAGTGCACTTCTATGTAACTTAAAATATGCTCAAATAAAAAAACACAATGCAAAATATATGGGCCCCTTTCTTGTTTTTATCTCTGTCGTCTTCACTCATGTCATTATGAACTATACCTTCACCCTGGTTAGCCAAATTAGATAATCTACGTGTTTCCATTACTACTATGCTCACAAATTTCAGAAACCATGGATGGTTGTCCTCTGAACAGTTTTTCACACAGTAAACCTTTGTCCACCAGAGGTATGTGATGTGTCTGAAGGTCCTTTAGCCTTGGCGAATCTATATTTTTTTGTTGTTGGACTCCTTTTTTTAACTCATGAACTTGGGTTCCATCCCTTTTGACCTGAACTCTCACAAGAGAGGACACTGATGTTTTGAGCTATGAATTCAACCAAATTAAAAGTTAGATCAAGCACAGTTAATTCTGTTTGCCTTTTGGATTTCCAAGGTGGATACAATGTATGCCATTGATTTGGGTAACAGGAACAAGTAAAAATAGGAGAAAGTGTACAAAAGCATTTTGAGTTATCTTGGCATCTATACAAATAGCTCACTATGATTTTGTGTATCATTATTTTAAAAAGATATTTAACATCTTATTTTTTTTAACAGTGGTATCCCACATATTGCTGCTTTATAAACTATGACAGCAGCCCAGGTTTGAACAATTTACACATTGTGTAGTCTTTAAAATTTGGAGCCTTGGTGGTCCTTGAAAACTGTGCTAAGAGCAACTGTTCCACATGAGGTCTATTAAGTGTATTTGCAGGTTTTATTACCTATTTCTTGTTACTTTTGACCTGCATTCTTATGCACCAAAGAATCCTGTTTTATTTTTACTTGTGCTTTGTTATGGTGCTTGTGTAAGTACAGTAACTCTAGATAATAACTCCCAGTTTCCTTTTGTCTTCTGTATGCTCACAAAATACAACAGAACAAATAAAGAAAAGCCAACATTATATCTTTAAATTGATAGTTACTGTTATGAATTCTCACAGTGGATTTATTACAGTAAAAGAAGTTCTACAGACTATTATAATGGTGAAAAATCCCGGAAAGTAGATCATAGAAATTGCAAGGAACTAATCTTGTCTTCTGTGTTTTTAGATTTTTTTTTTGGTTACATTTATAACCCTAGGAAAATTGCATAAAACAACTAAAATACTGTCTTCTCTAAATTAAAGCCAAAGCACCTTTCAAATATATAGTATTTTTGAAACTGGAACTTTTAACTATACTTCAAATTTTACCTTTGCATCCTTATATGACACATTGTAAAACTATGCATAATTTCAGAACCATTTCGGACTCTAGATGCTGCCCCATGATACGACACTAGACAATAGGCTTCTCTTTATGCCTAGGTACTGCCAAGACAATTAATTGCCCTATTGTGGTTTTAGCTACCATCTAGTACAATATATAGTTCTGGTCATTTTTGTTGGTATTTTGACTTTGCTTATGACAATTATCCTGATTTCTGACATTGCTAATGGCTTGCACTTCTGAGATGGTCTTGTTGACTCTTCTCAATCTGTTTTCCATCTGTTCATATTGCTATAAGGCTAGGTCCAGCTATAAGGTTATGTCTAGAGTTGAGCGCACACCTGGATGTTCGGCTTCGCCAGGTTCAGCCGAACATCGGCAAAAGGTTTGAGTTCGGCCTCGAACTTGACCCAAACTTGACCCCGAACCCCATTGAAGTCAATGGGGACCCGAACTTTTGGGCACTAAAATGGCTCTAAAAAAGTCCTGGAAAGGGCTAGAGGGCTGCAAAAGGAAGTAAAATGGGGGTAAGAGTAGGACAAGTGCCCTGCAAACAATTGGGGTAGCTCCCAAAATATTGGGACATATACAAAAAGAAAACAAAGAATAAGTGCACTTGAGTATAACAATGGCTGGGTGAGGCCGGTATAAATGTCTATTCTGCACAAGGTACAGACAAGTCTGGTGGGATCCATGGCTGTGGACAGGCAGCTGCACTTGTCTGTGATAACGCCCCCTGCCGTGCTAAACACACGTTAAGACAATACACTGGCTGCAGGGTAGACCAGCACCTCCAAGGCATAAAGGGCCAGCTCAGGCCATGTGCCCAATTTGGAGACCCAGAAATTGAATAGGGCAGACCCATCAGTCAGTATGTGAAGGCGTGTGCACATGTACTGTTCCACTATCTTGCTGAAATGCTGCCTCCTGCTAAGACGTTCCATATCAGCTGGTGGTGCTGGTTGTTGTGGCGTGCTGACAAAGCTTTTCCACATTTCAGCCATGCTAACCCTGCCTTCTGAGGTGCTGGCGGTGCCCCAGCTGCATTGGCTACCTCTTCCTCCTCCTCTGCCTTCGCCTTGTGCTTCCACTGAGCCCCCGGTGTCAGTTGGGAATGCCCTCAGCAGCGCGTCTACCAGCGTGCGCTTGTAGTCACGCATCTTCCGATCATGCTCCAGTGAGGGAATTAAGGACGGCACGTTGTCCTTGTAAAGGGGATCCAGCAGGGTGGCCACCCAGTAATCAGCACAAGTTAGAATGTGGGCAACTCGGCAGTCGTTGCGCAGGCACATTGGTGACTCTAGATAACTTCGGGCCGATCGCACGTCCCCGTGACGGCGACGACACATTCGGATGTCTGCCCTATCAACTTTCGATGGTACTTTCTGCGCCTACCATGGTGACCACGGGTAACGGGGAATCAGGGTTCGATTCCGGAGAGGGAGCCTGAGAAACGGCTACCACATCCAAGGAAGGCAGCAGGCGCGCAAATTACCCACTCCCGACGTGGGGAGGTAGTGATGATAAATAACAATACAGGACTCTTTCGAGGCCCTGTAATTGGAATGAGTCCACTTTAAATCATTTAACGAGGATCTATTGGAGGGCAAGTCTGGTGCAGAGCGACTGACCCATGCGTGCTGCAACTGAAACTCCACTATCGCCTGCTGCTGCTCGCACAGTCTCCAGCATGTGCAAGGTGGAGTTCCACCTTGTGGGCACGTCGCATATGAGGCGGTGAGCGGGAAGGCCAAAGTTACGCTGCAGCGCAGACAGGCGAGCAGCAGCAGGGTGAGAACACCGAAAGTGCGCACAGACAGCCCACACGTTCTGCAGCACCTGTGATATATCTGGGTAGTTTTTCAGGAATTTCTGCACCACCAAATTCAGCACATGCGCCAGGCAAGGGATGTGCCTCAAATCGGCTTGGCCCAGAGCTGCTACGAGATTTCACCCATTATCGCACACTACCAGGCCAGGCTTGAGGCTCAGTGGCAACAACCTCTCATCGTTCTGTTGTTCCATGCCCGTCCACAGCTCCTGCGCGGTGTGGGTTTTTTCCCCCAAACATATGAGTTTAGAAACAGCCTGCCGTTGTTTCCCCTTAGCTGTGCTGAAGTTGGTGGTAAAGGTGTTACACTGACCGGATGAGGAAGTGGTAGAGGAGGAGGAAGCAGAGTAGGAGGAGGAGGCAACAGGAGGCAAAGATAAATGCCCTGCAATCCTCGGTGGTGGAAGGACATGCACCAAACTGCTATCCGCCTCAGGCCCAAACTAACAGATGGTTTATGTCAGGCTACAATGTAACCGCCAGTAGTCAACAATTAAGTTCAGTGACAGTAAGGCAGTGCCGGTGTCCTAAAGAGAAAACATTTCTAGAGGTCACAGAAAAGTGTGACAGGAGTAATTAATACAGTTACTTCACTGGCTCAAAAAAGTGGGATTTTTTTAAAACAACAGTGTAACAGTAGTATTTAAGGGTTTTATTGGACTGCAAGAAATGCACCGCAGGCCGCAAATGTACTATTTAGCACCAAAAAAATGGGAATTTTTCAAAGTGCGATGAAACCACAGTATTTGACGGTTCTATTTCACTCTCAGATATGAAGTGCACGCCCTAAATTTACTTTTTAGCACCAAAAAAATTAGAATTTTTCAAAGTGCGATGTAACCACAATATTTGACGTTTCTATTTCACTCTCAGATATGAAGTACACGCCCCAAATTTACTTTTTAGCACCAAATAAAATGTGAGTTAGTCAAACTGCTATGTCACAGCAGTATTTGACGGTTCCATTTGACTCTCAGATATGAAGTGCACGCCCCAAATTTACTTTTTAGCACTAAAGAAATTTGAATTTGTCAAACTGCAATGTCAAAGCAGTATGTATTTAAAAATGCCTAGATGTTGCCCACTGTTCTACCAGAACAGGATTAAAGTAATGTGCCTGGCACACATGCAGTTGCAAGTGCCCACCTAACAAACAGACTGCTTATTTCTCTGTGGCACTGGGCTCAATGCAGGGTACAAAAATGTAGTATAGCACTCACACACAAAAATAATAGCTGTAGTTTGCAGATTCAACACCAGAATTCTTTCCTAATCTGTCACTCATAGCTGCAGCATCCTCTCCCTGCACTAATAAGAGCTCATGTGACTCCAGCTTACATAGAGGCTGGGTCACATGCTGCACTGGCCAATCACAGCCATGCCATTAGTAGGCATGGCTGTTATGGCTTCTAAGGGCACACAAGTCAAACGCTTGTTGATTGGGTGCCCTGCAGCTTTTCAAAACGTGCCATTAAATCGCCGAACACCGAACTCAAACCCGAACTGTTACTGAAATGTCCGGGCTCGGGTTCGGGGTCTAAAAATCGTAATGTTTGGTATGAACCCGAACTGTAAACTTTACAGTTCGGGTTCGTTCTTCTCTAGTTATGTCCTGATAATGAAACTCTTTCCTGTAGTTTCCTTTCTATTAGATTGGTAAGTTTAAATTTTTTTAGTCCAGGATAGCCTGATGCCTATCCCATGCATGCTTAAACTCCCTCACTGTGTTAACCTCTACCACTTCAGCTGGAAGGCTATTCCATGCATCCACTATCCTCTCTGTAAAGTAATACTTCTTGAAATAATTTTTAAACTTTGCCCCTCTAATTTGAGAATATGTCCGCTTGTATTGGTAGCTTTTCTTCTTTTAAATATAGTCTCTTTACTGTGTTGATTCCCTTTATGAATTTAAATGTTTCTATCATATCCCCCCTGTCTCGTCTTTCCTCCAAGCTATACATGTTAAGATCCTTTAACCCTTTTCTTGTAAGTTTTATTCTGCAATCCATGAACTTCTCTGAACTCTTTCCAAAGTATCAATATCCTTCTGAAGATACGGTCTCCAGTACTGCGTACAATACGCCAAGTGAGGTCTCACCAATGTTCTGTACAATGACATTAGCACTTCCCTCTTTCTACTGCTAATACCACTTCCTATACAACCAAGCATTCTGCTAGCATTTCCTGCTGCTCTATTACATTGTCTGCCTATCTTTAAGTCATCTGAAATTATTACTCCTACCATTTTTCTAGTTTACCTAAAGCATTGGTCATTTGGCTTATCCCTCTTGGAACATCAACCCTGATGCAAATCTTAGTATCATCAGCAAAAAGACATACCTTACCAGCAAGACCTTCTATAATATCACTAATAAAATTTATGAAGAGAATGGGTCCAAGTACAGATCCCTGAGGTACCCCACTGGTATCTATAATTTGCTTTGAATATACTCCATTGACTACAACCCTATGTTGCATGTCATTCAGCCACTGCCTTACCCATTCAACAATACTGGAATCCAAACTTAAAGAATGTGGTTTATTGATGAGCCTTCTATGTGGAACAGTGTCAAAAGCCTTACTGAAATCTAGGTAGGCAATGTCTACTGCACCATCCTAATCTATTATTTTAGTTACCTCATCAAAAAAATCAACAGGATTAGTTTGGCATTATCTCCCTGAAGTAAACCCATGTTGTTTCTGATCTCGAAATCCATGATATTTTAGATGTGCAACAATCCTATCCTTTAACATTGTTTCCATCACTTCCCCACTATTGAAGTAAGGCTTACCGGACTATAGTTGCCTGACTCCTCCTTACTACCTTTCTTGTGAATGGGTTACAACATTTGCTACTTTCCAATCTTCTGGGACTACTCCTGTTAACAATAATTGGTTAAGTACATCAGTTAATGATTTTGCTAGTACACCACTAAGCTATTTCAATAACTTTGGGTGCATCAGGCCCCATCGACTTATTTGTCTTTACTTTTCACAGTTTAAATAAGACCTCTCACTCTGTAAACTCACATGTAACAAATGACAATTGTCCTTTTTCGTAACTGAGGTACCTTTCCTTCATTTTCAGCTGTCAATACTGAACAAAAATATTCATTAAGGCAGTCACATAGACCTTTATCCTCTTCTACATACCTTCCTTCTTTTGTTTTTCATCTAAATAATCCTTGTTTTACTTTCCTTTTCTTATTTATGTATCTAAAAAAAGGTTTTAACCCCCTTTTACTGACTGTGCTATTCTCTCTTCTGTGTGTGATTTGAAAGCTCTTATAACTTGCTTAGCCTCTTTCTGCCTAATCTTATAGATCATTCTGTTTTCCTCACTCTGTTTTTTTTTAATAATTACTAAATGCTAACTTTTAGTTTTTTTTTTACTATATTGGCCACTTCTGCAGAGTACCACAGTGGTTTCTTCATTTTTCTGCTCTCACTGACAAGCCTAATCAATTTTCCTATTGCTTTCAGTAGTTCAACTTTTAAATAATCCAGTTTACTGCTGGACTCCATCTAAACTGCTCCAGTCTGATAATGACTCCTTTACGCAAACGTGTGCAGGGTTTGCCACACATGCACATGAGAAACATTGGATTAGACCCCATGATGAAGAAAGTTAAACTTCATATTTTATTTATTTTTTGCACAGGGGACCCTATTTAGAGATGGGGAATTTGTATTCCTCACACTATAGTGTCCTTTAATACTGACATTAACTGAATAATTAGCAGTCTCTGATGTGATTATGTATAAAGTCAAAATGTATCTTAAAGGTAGTTTGTGGTCTATCTGTACATTGACTGAATGTATAAATAAAGAATACAATTATTTGCATTTCAAGTCTTCTCAGTATTTATTGTGATAGAACACACATGACCGTTCTTATAAAGCTTCACTGACTGGATTCTGGATGCTCAGTATTGTATCTTTATAATGTATTTGCTAAACTATAGATTTGAGCGAACCCGAACTGAAAAGTTCGGGTTCGTACTGAACATTACGGTTTTTGGACCCTGGAGCCGAACACGGACATTTCACTGTATGTTCGTTTTGGATTTCGGCATTTGGCGATTTATTGGCACGTTTTGAAAGGCTGCAGGGCAGCCAATCAACAAGCGATTAACTTGTGTGTCCTTAGAAGCCATCACAGCCATGCCTACTAATGGCATGGCTGTGATTGGCCAGTGCAGCATGTGAGCTATTTACCAAAAGGCTGAAAGACCTAAATTGGTCTTTCAGCTACATTTACTAACACTAAGTAAACTTTACTTAGTAATAGTAAATTCAGCCCCTACTCGCTATACCGCGAGTAGGAGTGTGTGGCTGCTCACTGTAAAAAATAAAAAATAAAATAAAAACCTATTGGCCCCTGTGGCGAAACCAACCTCACCACTGGGCATTGGAGAAGCCTGGTTGCTCGCCTGCTCCCTTTAGAATATGGACCCATGTTAAAACGTTTGATTTTCCCCTGCAGAAAGGCTTGTTCGTGCCTTTCTGCCTGGGCGTTCGGTAGATTGAATCTACTGAAAAAACTACCGTAAGATCGACCACCTGGGAACTAGAGTGTGCCATCAATTGACCTCCCAGAAGCTGCGGTTAACCGCAGCTTAATTGGTGAACGCTGGGAGATCGCTGTTCGTGTAGCTCACACGTGGCAGCGGCCATTTTAAAGTCCTGAACGGCCGGCGGTGTTCAGCGCCCAAACTAGGGAACTGGAAACGGACACTTATTTGAGCGAACACCGCTGAGCCGTCAGCCTCCTTGCTTCTGCATTTGGTCATTTCACTGAATGCCTGTTCATTCGGTAGTTTAACCGTATGAACAGCATTACCCCAGATAGCCATGC